CGGCCATCCCATCGGGGAGGGCTTCCTCACACCCTCACCCGCCCGGCCGCTGGGCCTCAGGAGCTGGTCCTCGATCAGCAGGTGCCCCGTGTTGTCCCCGCTGAACAGCTCATCCGCTGCCAAACACAGGCACGGGTGTCAGCCCCACAGCGAGTGGGAGCAAGTCTCCTATGGCCCCTCTACCTCTCTGGCTCCTCCACCCACTTCTCCGGCTCTCTTGTACTAAATCCACCTGGTTTTCCTCTTAATTTCTGGCTGGAGAAGAGCTGTGTGAACTGCAGGGGCTGACGGTCCCCAGGTTAGGAGGCCAGCAAGACCCCACCACAGCCACGTCCACCACCTCAGGCCCAGCGGAGCGGGAGGTGACGAAGAGCAACCCGGTCCTGCCAGCTCCCAGAGATGGGGCAGGACGGAGACACAGCTGCGGCACCCGGCCGGATCCCACCCACCGAACCCGGGCTGCCACAGCAGGTGCCTCACCTGGGGCACGGGAACCACTCAGGCTCCCCGGTCGCCACGGGTGCCCTTTGCTCCTCCTCATCTCAAGAATCTCCTAAACCCACGCAGGGCTGTGGTGACCAACCTCACTGCGGGGCCGGCTGGGCACAGAACAGGCGCTTGCCTTGTTCACCTGAGCTGCCAGGCACTGCCGGGAACGGGGGGCTCAGACCCCCGCTCTCCCCACGGCCGGACCGGGAGCAGCACCCTGCTAAGCCGCAGCTCCCAGCCGCCTCCGCAGCCCGAGCACGGCTCAAGCCGGCCAATCTGCAGGACTAACACATGCAATCAACTTGCGTTTACGTGCTTGAACGGTGTTGACGCCGGGTGTTTTAAACCACAGGAGTGCCCCGTTTCCTTAGCTACCAGGGATTTTCCGTGGAATAACAACATTGCATTGCCCCCAGAGCAGGGCTCAAAGGCTGGATGCAGCCTTGCTGCTTCCAGCGGTGAGGTACCAACCATCCCACCTCCAAGCCCTTCTCTCTGTGGTGACCCCACATGCTTTGCCCACACTTTCCCAGGGGGGCAAGGCAGGACTCGGGTGCAGACACTGGCTTTGCTATGGGACACAGGCAGCCACCCCGCCGGAGACGGCTGCAAACCCAACTCACGCTGCTCCTCGATGTCGTTCTCTGACTCGGTGGACTGGGCTTTGTAGTAGGTGACCCCTCGAACGATGGTGGGCTTGGAAGGAGGCCGGCTCCTCACGTGCAGCTTCCTCTGCAAGAGTTGCTTCGGCTTCTCGTCCTCCAGAGAGAGGTGCAGCTCTGGGAGGGACTCGACGGAGTTGATCTGCTGGGAGATGGTTTCATCTTTCAGGAATCTTTCTTCGTATCTGCCCTGGAAGAGATGCGGGAGGCTGTTGCGGGATGGGCAAGCACAGACGCATTTTGGGGGACAGGGCAGGTCAGGCTGGCCAGCCGAGCGTTGGGCAGGATGCTCTGTCCTCCCTCCTTTCTCAGGGTCACCCTCCATCCCTTCTGCTGTGGGAAAGGCTCCAGGAGACAGCAGAAGTGGCAGAGCCAGGGGGACCCTGGGGCGGCGTTAGCAGGGAATAGAATCATGGAATTGTTAAGGTTGGAAAAGCCCTCTAAGATCATCAAGTCCAACCTCCAACCCAAGACCACCACGCCTGCCAAACACCCCTCACTGCAACCTCATGTCCACCCCCAGACCGGATGTGTGCCGAGCTTTGGTAGAGCAGAGAGGCTAAAGAACCTTTCCCAGGGGGGCTGGGAACCCCCCGGGGCAGGGACCGGGAACCCCGTGCCGAGGCAGCCACCAGCTGCTGCAGCAAATGCCTGAAGGATTTCATCTCGTGAAAGGAAATCGGAAAGACAGCTTGAAGGTTGAAGCGGTGCCCACTTGGCTGAGAAGACCAGCCCGAGGTTCCTTCGCAGCCCTGCTGCATTTAACGGCGAGAGAAGGGGAACGTTGGGAAATGAGGTCACTCGGGGTAATAAAAGCCCGGCGCTTCGCTCTCCTGCGCGGCCGGGCTGGCTCCCCTCCAGCGGGCAGCGGAGCCCCTGCTCC